AAAGGCTCTAGTTTGTAGAGAGATAGAACAATAGAGAAAAATAAGAAAAAAATCCAAAAAGGGGCCTTTTATAATGACCCAAAAAGTCGTTGTTTTGGAATTAAGGGATTCAGGCCAATGTGCCAACCCACAGGCCAACCCGCATTCTAACCCGACTCGTTTGATGAGATTTCCTTTTTTTCATTTTATTTTTGTTTTATGATTTTATTTTATTTTTTGTTTTTTTGTTAGGATTTTTATAATTTATTTTTATAAAATATATATTTTAACTTAAGCAACAAAATAAATAATTATTATGAATAATAAACTAATAAAAAATAAAATCAAGAATAAATAGTAACTTTTAATCTAAAATAAAATTGATAAACAAAACAATAATAATATTAAAGAAAGTGAAAAGATTCTATTTTTTCTTAATTTTATAAGTAGTAATATTTTTTGAATTTTCGCTAAAGTTTTGGGACAGTCAAGAAATTATTTTTACTGAAAACTAACTACCTCTACTAACTTCTAACTTTCAACAAAAGAAACTTCTAGAAAATTCTTAGAACTTGATCTAAACAAAATGAAATTTAAAAAAACAAAACGCAATTGCAGATCAAATCAAGATTAAATTGCAACTAAAGTAACAAAAACACAAGATCTATGAAGAACAAGTAAAACTGAAACTTAGATACAAATCTGAAAATTGAATGTTCAACAAAGAATGTAGAGCTAAGCTAATGCAAATTTAATGAATTTGAACTAGAAATTGCAAAAACAAAAGGAAATGAAAATCAAAACAAGACTGAATGAGAATTGAAACAGCAAAAACATGAATGCCAACTAGAAATTCAAAACCGAAAGCAAGAACTTAAATCTAGAAACTAACAATTCATGGATGAAAATTATAAACCAAACACCTAGCTAGGAGAAAAGTAACTTGAAGTGCTGTCACTTACTCAAGCGCTAGCTCACCTTTTGGATTCAAATGAAGCTTTACAGATTTTTCTGAAATTGTGTAGAACGAATTTTAATGCAATTTTTTTCAAATTTGTAGAACAATGAATAAAAAATTAATGCAAAAAAATTTAGATCAAAACAAGCAATATTTGATCAAGATTTAATAGAAAAATCACAGCTAATTCAAGAACATGAATTGCTAAACATATTTGAGAAATAAGTAAAAATGCGTCAAATTGAACTTGAAAACTTAAGGATTGTTTGTTTTTGTTTCTATTTTCTATTTTTTGTTTTCATTTTCAGTTTTTTTGAAAATTGAAAACAAAACATATTTGGTAGGTTGTTTTTATTTTCTATTTTTGAAAATTGAAAACAAAGCTTTGTTTTGAAAATTATTGAAAATAGAAAAATGATGTTTTCAGTTTTTTGAAAACAATGTGGCACTATTATCATACAGGCACTGTTAACAAAAGTTACAATTAAACCACTATAGTGACACTACAATTATTTTATTAATAAAATAATATTTTTATTATATAAATATTATATTAATAAATATTATTATATGTATTATATAAATAATATTATATTAATTAATAAATAATATGTTACATTAATAATATATTATTAATATAATATATTATTTATTAATATAATATTAACTAATATAGTATTTATAAATAATATATATTAATAAATAATATTATAATATATAAAAATAATTTATTAATAAATAAATAAAATTATATTAATAAATAATATATTAATAAATATTATTATATTATTAATAACAAATGGAGCCTAAAATCTTTAACCACTTTCTCTTCCATGTTTTTGTTTTTATATTTCTAAAACAAAAACATTTTATAAAAACATGATTTCAAATTCAATAAATTAAAAATAAAACAAAATAAAATTTACAAAACATAAAATATAAAACACACAACAATATCTAACGACCTCTTAAAAATCTTAAACTTTTATTGAAAGAATCTTAAAGTGCATTGAAAATAAAAGGCAAGGAAAGTATATTTTACTGAAAAATAAATGCAATTTTCCCCTAAACAACCCTTTAAATGAACAAGCAGGAAACTATTTGGAGAGAAAAGAAAGTAAAATGAAAGAAATGAAAATTCTAGAAAAAAATAGAAAAATGCTATGAAAGTCTCCCCAAATGGCTTACCATTCCCTCCTATTTATAAGCAAATGTGAGGTGGTTCAACCAATCAAAATGCAAAAAAAATTCCAGCTAAGTTGCCACATCTTCTAGATCCTTCCAACTCATCTGTCTTGCTTTCGTAGCTTTCTTATATGCTTCTCTTTACTTCACTTTACTTCAAGCTTTCTTCATTTGATCTTGTGAGCTCTAAAAAGTCAAAATTATGTCTAATGAGAAGCCTTCAAATAACCAACCAAGCAACTCCAATTATCCTTCTTTGAATGTCCAAAATGGCACCACAATCCTTTATTCACCTAGCAAGTACATCCAACAAGCTTGCTTGAATTTTGCTTCCAATAATTTTGGCATCAATTGTAATCAATTTCTTCTTCAATTTTCTGCCAAATACAGACCATTTAGTGG